TTTTTCATAGTTTTATTAGGTGCGCCTCACTAATATGTACACACGCTTCAAATTTCAAGTAATTTGGATTTGTAGAAACAAAATGAAAATTGAAACACTATCGGACAACTGTGATCGTACGATGAAGTTTGGATGGTGATGAGGGTAGGAGAAATCAGTGTTCATTTTCGCCTATAGTCGTTGGGAAGAGTTTTCCTATATATATATATATATAAATATATAATATGTCCATATATAACAATCTGGCTAGACAACGACAACTCTTCTCCATTCTCAATGTCTCACTATTCTTGTTTATTTGACTACATTTTACTAAAAGACGTAGTTTTGGTGCTGGAAAACTTTGATATGGCCTAAAATTTTTTTCCTCCCTTATCATAAAATTTAAAGCTCTAAACATGGTGCATATGGAGTAGATTTATAAACACTTGAAAATCTTGAAAATAGATGTCTAGATAATGTGCTACAAAATGCACTATTTTCAAGACTTGAAACCAATTTTTTTTCATATCCATACATCTTGAAAGTCAAGATGATAAAATTGGAGTTTTTTTAGTGTTAGAACAATCTGTTTTAGTGGGATTTGGAGTGCTTCTTCTGCCGTATAAGGTTGACACCTTGTATAAACTGTTTCCTAAAAAAATTGTTTGGAATTAAGTTTTTAACTTCCTTTCAGCAAAGTATTTGCATTTTAGAATTATTAATTTCCCATTAATTTTATATAGTTGTATATGTATATATAATTTTTATTAAAAAAATTTCTACGGACATGTTGGACCATATTGGCTCTTTGGGTTATTATGCTAGACATCTTAGATGTACTGGACACGACATTAGTTTAGATGTCCATTTAACACTGGATGATAATGACGTGAGGTGAAATCTCGTGGTGCTGTCCATTCCCTAATGAAGCCTTTCGTGTTTGAGCATCAGCTTTATTAACCAGTCATACATCCTGATGACTTTTACAATCTAATAATGCGCCTTGCAGACTAATCGATTATACCTCCTGATGACTTCTGTAAGCTAATAATGTGCCTGTGTTTCTATAGCTTGTTGTGTATGATACGGTTATAGTTGAAATACAAATTGAAGTTTATTTTTTGAATTTCTAGTTATTGACTTGTTGTGTATGATACGGTTAAATTGGAAATACAAATTGGAGTTTAATTTTTGAATTCCTAGTTATTCAAAGTCAATCACTATTTAGGTGCTTCATAGAGCTCAGCATTCATTTGATTTCCTCAATGAAATGTATTTATATTTGGTCCAATAGCTTGCCAGTTGTTGATTGTTTTGTGCATAGATTGTAAAATGGCTTTCAGTTTAGCAAAGCTTTTGCACTCTGCTAGAATTTGGATCATATCTTTAGCTCTTTTCGTGATCATTAGGTGAAAAATTGGTATCATTTGAAGAGACTTCATTTCTTTTATATTTAGTATCCTTTTGATGTGCTGAACTAGCTCATAACAATGTTCTTGTTTGATGCCCCTAATGTAATTGGTTCGTGGTTATTGATTTTCTCACACGATTCATGTGTAGAAAACTTTGGGATGCTTTAACTGGTGATGAATTGCACTCCTTCGAACACAAGCACATTGTTCGTGCATGTGCATTCTCTGAGGTATTATTTCTCATGTAGAGCTAATTCCTTTTCTTTTGCGCTTTACTCCTTGCGGAGGTTTCATCCTTTGGGATCTTTATAGGCATGCATGCTAACATTTTAAGCTCAAGGTTTAAGTTCCGTTCTGTTCTTTAGATGTGAAGAGAATGCGTAGTTAATCATTGGAATCATGCAAACTCTGCATTATTATTTATTTAGAATATAAACTGTCACTAAAAAATGTCAAAAAATGTAACAAATTGTAATAAAGTTGAATTTAATTAGAGTTGTAACATTTATATGAATTGTGCATAATATTCAGATCACAAGTTGAATGAATTTATTTGATCATACTCTTGAGATGGTATGGTTTTGAAACGGTATCGTGGTATCATTCTTTTTGGTTGGTATTTATTTTCACAACATCCAAAACTTTTTATTTCAATATTTTTTTCGCTATCAAAACAGGGCATTCAGCCTCTACAATGTATGTTTCATCACCACCTGCAGTTCATATGGTTTTCTTGTTTTTCTTGTTTACCTATGGCCTAGTCGTCACATTTTGACATGATCTTGTTAATTCGACATTCCAAACTAATTATGGTATAGATATCATTCTTTGTGACTTTTCCCGCTTTTTGGTTTATTGAGAAAACAAGAAACTTTTGAGAATGCAAAAGAAAAAAACAAAGTACCATGCATTGTGCTATGTATTTCATCATTTACTATATTATCACAAGTAAAGTACTATGCATTGCGCTATGTATTACATCATTTACGATATAATACATATATATGATTCATATTTCATGAAGCCTTAATCATCCAGTCGCCAATCTTGAATTATAAAACCTTAAAGCATGTTTGGATTACAATATAAACAAGAAAAAAGTTAAAACCTACAGTTTTGTTAGTACTATTCCAAACAAAACTAAGCAACCGTGAGTAAGCCGAACACACAATTGGAGAACTTGTTTTAATGTTTAGGAGGTGAGATTTCAAATCTGGGATGAATTGAAATTTGTCCTTCAACAAAATCTGTCAAACAAAATTGTTTCAATCAAGCCTAATGCTAGCCTACTGTCCAGAGTGAAGAACTAGGGGTGTAGAATAGCTTTAAGTTGATTCCGGAAGGCTCCCTCAACTTATTTTTGGGGTTTTGGTTAATTGGAGTAAAAATTAGGATTTTGACATTTTTTATGGGGTTTTTTGCATTTTGGAGGTTATAGTAAGGCTATTAAGAAAGACGAAAATAGGGGAAAAAGAGAAGAAAATAATTAGTGGAAAGGGGGAAAGAAAAAATAATTATGAGGATGATAAAGAAATAATTTAACGAAAGAAGGGAAAAAGGAAAAGAAAGGAGAGGGCAAAAGAATTTAGAGAAAGAAAAAAAGGGGATGGAAAAGAAAAATATATGAATTTAGGGTATAAAAAGGGGAAGAAGGAAAAGAAACGAGAGGTTAAAAGAGTTGAGGGAAATAGTAGGAAGAGGGAAAAATAAATAAAGAGGAGAAGAGCAAAATTGAAGAATACAATGGAATACCAAGCCTTTTCTGTAGCCCCCCATAGCCCAAACACCCCCCCTTGCCCTTCTTTCCCCTCTTCGCCCCTTATAAAACGTTTCTCAAAAAATAATCACCAAATTTTTTTTTAATCCTTTTAAAAAAACATCACCAAGGGGTTCGAGGTCCCTCTCTCCCTTCTTATGAAACTTGTCTTGAACATAATGACCTAAGTACCCCTAATTAAAAAAGTAATTAAAGGATTAAACTACCCCTGAATTCTTTATTGATCGACAAGACCTAAATACCTGTAGATAACTAAACCAAATTAAAAATCAACCTTGGTTTCACTTTCTAAAAAAGTACAAAATGAAAATAAAGCCCAAAGTGTTTCACTAAATGAGCTTCAATGTTTTTACCCCAAAAGAGTAAATAGAAAAAATAATCAAACTAGTCCAAGTGAAGGTCACAATGTCCCCATTACTTCTCTCCAGTTTGGGAAGATTGACCTTGTCGAGTACTCCTCCATGCAACATTGATGAAAATCCTTCCGCCTTCGCATCTTATGCTCATCAATCCATGAACTCCTCCCACCTAGCGCCTAGGCGGGCGCCTAGACGGCCCTTTCAGAACCTGGTAGCCTAGGTTCAAAAGGGGGCAAGGGGTGTGCAACAATCATGTTTTAGGTCTAGATTTTGTACTAAAAATGCATATTCATGCATTTTTTTATAATTCAAACAAAAAAACACTGCGCCTAGGGTCCCTAGACGAGCGTCCAAGGACAGCCCTCACCCACGCTCGTCTAGACGGTCACCTAGGCACTGGGTGTACTGCTTTTTTAATCAATACTTGTGGCTTGGTGTGGCATGTTGATACGTAGATATGTGTTGATACTTACAGATACTTAACTGGCACTTGACTTTTTGTCTTCTGATTTCGCTACCTTTTGATCACGTATCGGCATTTTTTGTTAAAGTGTCTTCCAATTTTTATCACAAAAGTCTTAATGATGATGTGCTAGCACAGAAGGTTTCTTTTTTTTTTATAAAGTGCTAGCACAAAAGGTTTCAATCCTGGCATTGTTCTTTTTTGAGCTAAATCATTTTTTAAAGGTAAATGCATGTTGTAATAAAAAAACCAAGGCTTGTGAGGTTCAAAACCCTAACTTCATGCATGAATATGGTATAGTCTACCAATTCACAAGTCACATCTATGTGTAGGAGGTGTGCTTATGATTAGAAACATTATTCAGTATATACAATATAAAATGCGACTTATGGGTATGGAACTTTATACCTCGAGCATAGGAGGCTGTCCAATCTACCAAAGTAGCAACTCCAAGGTAGATGATTAAATATCTGCAGTTATATTTAAATACTAATGTACTATATGGACGTATTGGTGAAGTATTGGCTTTTTGGTGTCATGTACTAGATACCCCGACATGTACTGACAGTGTCTATGTAACATTGGTTTTACCTATTTTTGCCTACAATATTCTCCAAAACTGACTGTGGAATCTAGTATCTCTATTAGATGTGATCGAGTTAGGTACACACCATGAAGATAAACAACTTCTCTAAAGAAAAGATTTGTGACATGAAACGCATCATGGGTCTTTTGACAAGGAAAATGGGGTACTCTTGAAAAATGGTCTACTACTACAAAAGAAGAATTGTACCTCTTAGCATTTCTAGGAATACCTGACGTGTCCATGCCGGCGTCCTCTCTACTCATGAAATAGTCTTAGATTGACCAAAATGTCCAATAAGACCCCCACTATGCAACTCAAGAATTTTGTTCTCACAAAGAGAACTCCTTGTTACTCACAATCGTGACTAATGGAAAGAATTCACTCTGTAAAACAAACTTAGATGTATAATATGTACCATTAGATGGACAAGACTTCCCTTTAGGACCGAAGTATGGATCAGTATCATACTAGTCATTAAGGAACTGAAAACCCACGAGTGTGTGAGATAGTATTTCAAGGAGGAACGACTGATGACTCAATACATCCACCACTTTATTCTGAACTCTTGTGATTTATGCTCGAGGGTAAACGTCTATTCCTATAAGAACATGCCCTATTTGCCATGTCGTCTATGGTGTACACTTGGAGTAGATATCTCAATGCCTCATGAACTTAATACAATGCAAACTCTCTCTGATCAAATATGCCTCTTGTGTTGAAGAGATTGATCGATTGCATAAAATCTGACAGTATGTCAAGTAAAGGACACGGACATCATTCAATTTCTCGCTAAAGAACACCACTGGGCACACCTCTTGGCTCAGCATAGCTCCGATCCCTATGTGGGAGGCATCACAATCTACCTTGAAGCCCTTCTCAAAAGTGGAGAACACCAACACCGGTAAACTTGTCGTTTTTGCTTTTACCGGAAGGAAGTACGACCTCTCTAGTCCATCTAAATATCCTTTCTTCCTGCAATTAGAGGTCTGTGCAATCATGGAGCTAAAGTTTTGGATAAATCTTCAATAGAATGAAGCAAAATCGTGATAACTTTGCACATCACCAAATGGAACTCGAGGTCCACCAGCTCTTGACGGCTTCCAGCTTTTCCAGATCAACATTAATTCCTTCTGCCAACACAATGTGTCCATAAAAACCAAACTTATGGTCAAGAAAGTACACTAGGTTGACATACAACTTGTTCTTCCACAGGATCTTTTGTACTCCATGCTAAATGATCATCTTGGATCATCCTACATAGTCAAATATCAAAGTATATGACCAGAATTTCCCTATGGATGGTCATAATCTTGGTTCATCGTAGGCATGAATGTGCTCGGTGTGTTGGGGAAACCAAAGGTCATCACTAACCACTCCTAAGGACTTTGTCTCCAGGTCGAATTTGAATCTCATGGTATCCACTCCTGAGATTAATCTTGTAGAAAACCTGTGTGCCACTAAAATATCCATCCTGTCATCAAGCATGGTTGTGGGGAATCTATGCTCGGTGGCAATCTTATTGATTTGACAACTGTCGACACACATTCTCCAAGTGTCATCCTTTTTCAGAGTTATAATGCAAGGAACACGCATGGACTCAAGCTTTCTCATTTAAGTTCTTTTCTTAGCAGTTTCCTGACCTACATATGCAACTCTCTATGCCCCCCTAGAGATCTTCACAGTGTTGCATATCTCTCATTAGGAGAAAAGCCATTAGGAAGCTCTTCTAGGGTGATCTTTTTGGATTCCTGGGGAACCTCTCATGGATTTGGTTAGTGCTCTACCTCTTCTTTAGCCACAATAGTATTGTCTATATGTTATTCCTTACTCATCACCTCCAGTTGTTCTCTACTCAGTAGTACTTACTACTGCCTGTTTGCCTTCTTTTGAGGAATTGACGGTTTCACTACTTCTTTCCTAGGTTGTAACACATCATTTGTGGAAGAAGTGTGATCCTTTTTATTATTCTTGGTGAAGGACTAGGTGTTTTCGTCACCATCATGGTGTGTCTTTCTGTCGAATTGCCATGGATGGCCAATAAACATGTGACACACCGTGAGAGGGGCCACATCTCACTAAATAACATCTTTACAATTTATCTGTATCGAGAAACTCACAAGCAGTGTGATCTAATACGGGTCTTATTCCATCCTTTAAATTATGCAATGCTTTGTCCCTCTATCTTCTTGTTCTTCAAGCGAAGCTTGTCGACCATCCTTTGAGAAATCAGATTCTTAGTACTTCCAACTATAAATAACAATCACGCTCAATTTCTTGTGCAAGTGGTGTGGAGAATATTGCTCCGCAGCCACCTATTAACTTCAGGGACCTTTAGAGATATCATGGCCCTATGGATGACAAGTGTGTCCCTTCGGGTATTTCACTTGAAGTTTGAATCTTGTCTCTTACTTCTGTCCTAAAGGTGATCTTACTCTCTTTATTTCATTCATGTTGTACTTGTTCCACCAAGTTCCACCAAGTTATTTTGAAGGTTGCATGATGTGCTGGTGCATTTGGTTGATTCATGACCTACTTCTACACATTTGAAGCATTTAAGGGTGTTATTTTGTGGTTTGGGTCTAAGAGTCTGGTCCTGGCACCTGCTGCTGGGGGTCTGGATGAGGGGACTACAAATAATGTGTAAAGTTAGCGTCTCTAACTACTTGGGCCTTTCCAGAGGAATTTGATGACCCTTGGTCAGGAATTTCTCCTTTCGATTTATAGGATACTGGAGATGCTTCTCAACTTTCAAAGCAAGTTGATAGCCATCATCAACATTCCACAAGTTATGAAGGGAGACTTGATCATGCATATGATAATGCAACCCTACTATATATCGAGCCATGACTGGTTCATCATCCTCTTGGAGGCCATTACATGCGACCAGCAAATGAATCTCTTCCATATTATCTTTTAGATTTTGTACCCTCCTTCAAAAGCGAGTAGCTTCTACTAAAGGGTCCTCTAATAATCAGAGAGTAAGTATTTTCATTAAAGCTTCTCTTTCAATTGGGTATGCTAACCTTCTCCTTGCCCTACCTAACTATACTCTTTTGAATTTGCTTCCACCAGATAAGTCCATAACCTTTCAATATCATGATAGCAAACTTCACTTTTCTATCTTCATGGAAGTGATCAACAGTCTCCAACCACTTGAGTAACTCATTGAGATCCAAATGTCCACTATAGTCCACCACATCAACCTTAATCCTGTACTCCTGGTTTCTTTCAAGCACTTTGCCCATCTATCATCAATCTGCTCTCTATGATGATATTGCTTAGGATCCTTAGAAAAAGTCATCATCATACTGCTCTATCTTGTTGACATCCTCTCAGAAGGCGCACTAGCATATTCATAAGGCTCCTGTGGAGGTTTAGGGCGAAGAGCAGCTTTAATACCTACATCCTGCGAAATCTGCAGCAGCTGCTTTCTAATCTACTGGAGGGATTCATCATGTTGGTCAAGTCTTTTTTGGATAGTCTGTTGCCAGCAGTCCTTGACTTGAATGCGCTTATAGCCTTTGCCACAACCATGCCTCTGGTTTGCATTGCCATGTTCTACCATGTAGAGTTGATTCATCTAACCAGGGAGCTTTCCTATACCTAAGAACGCGTCCTACACTTTAGATGTCAATTAGGGCAACTCACTTGACTTGGTAATTCTAGGGGAGCAACCAAAAGACCTCAAGAACTTCCTCTGAACCCTAAGGCAACACCTAAAACACCTAAAATACATCACACAATAGGATTGCACCCAAGGGGCATAAAAGTGAAGGGACAACACCCTATTAACCTGATGGACATCTTAAGACAACAGGACAGACCCTAAGCACCTTAAAGTAGACCTCTATCCTTAGGATAGAATTTGCTCTATACCAAATTGATGTGACCGAACAAAAAAACAGTTTCAGCGGTATTATTCCAACAGAACTAATTAAGAAGCTGTAAGTCAAATATGCAATTGAGAAACTTGCTTTAATGTCCGGCAAGTGAGGTTTTGAATCTTGAGTGGATTGAAATTTTGTCAAAGAAAAGCAGACAAGCAAAATCAGTTTCAAATCAATCCCAAGGTTAGCCTACAACCCAGATTGAAGTGGGGTGTAGAAAAGCTTTAAGTTGATTCTAGGAGGACTCCCTCAATTTATATCTAGGGTTTTGGGTTAATTGGAGTAAAATTTAGGCTTTGATGTATTTTTAGTGGGGCCTATTTGCTGTTGGGGGATTATAGTAAGGACAAATAAAAAGAAAGAAGAAATAGGGGAAAGAAAGGAGTAGAAAATAATGAAAAAGGAAAAGGGAGAAAGAAAAAATGAATAAGACACAAAATTTTTGGGAAAAGAAAGGAAAGAAGGGAAAGAAAGGAGGTGACAAAATAATTTAGGGAAAGAGAAGGCAAGAGGGAAAAAGAAAGGAAGAGGGAAAAGAGAAGAATTGAAGAATATGTTGGAAGGGAGGGACCTTGGGAGGTGCTATCAAACCTTCTCGATGGCATTCAATCAAGGAACAAGCAAGCTCTCTTTAGGTGTTTTGTCCCCCTTCAAAGTCTTCTAAAAAATAATCACCAAGGGGCTGGAGGTTCCTCTCTTTCCTTTGTTTCAGTCGAGTATATTGTAAGCAATTTTCTTTGTGTAAAATTTCTCTAAACCAGGAAACTGCTAAGTACATTGTGATATGTATATAATTATAGGGGATTGTAATTTGCACTCATGTTTTTACTATTACAACCTGTCCCTATACCCATATATACCCACGCCTACATGTGTGTGCTTGTTTGTATCCATCTTTTTGTCTATACGTTGAGTGTGATGTCAGACTTTGTTGAGTATTCTCAGGAGTCTGACATCATGTTCATCTGTCATTCACTCCTTAAACTAGGATGTTTACAAAACTTAGTTCCTTGTTATGTTTATCAAACCCCCAAGGTGAATATATGGGACCTTGCCATGTAGGAATAGTAAGTTCTAACACTAGAACTCAGGATGTTATGAGCTGTTGGTGTCTAGCATTTGTGTGATTTGATATCCTTTGAGCTGATCACTCCCCCCCTTCTTACAAACCTTTTGTCTTTCTGTGGAAACATGTCCCTTTGGTTGGTAATTGGCATTCTCATTTGGAACACTCAAATGGGTAACTGTGTTGCAACTTTTTCAGGTCGGTCATGGGCATGCCCCAAATTTTACTTTTACCTCGTACTGCATTACTACTATGAGGACTTCAACTTCCTTGGATTGTACTTTCTGCTTAGGTTGGCATTGGTGCACCTGGATTTATATCATACACATTTGTCATGACATAAATATGTTGGTGTAAGCCTAAGAAATGTCTATATGTTCAAAGTCAGATCCCATGTACCCTAGCCGCAATAGAAAAGGGAACCTCATATAGGATGGAGGGTTTATCTCCCACTTTGAAATTAGCAGATGTTCCTGCTTCTGGGAGGTGCTTTGGGCAACTGAGTTCTAACCATTAAATGGTGTTTGGAAGCTTTATCTGAGCTTGAAGTTCAGGCTGTGGTGCCCTTTAGATTTTCATTTTCTAATACTCTTTCATATTGTGCAGGGCAGCAATTTTGAGATCTTGACTATGGATATGGAAATATCCTATATTGCTTATGTATTTTGTTTGACCATCTAACAGAGGAGGATCCACTGGTACCTTAACTTATTTCAACCCTGTATTGTAATTTTTAGTAGAACCTCTTTTAGCTTTATTGATTTTCTATTAAATTACAATCAAATCTGTCAAAATGCTCAAATCCTGTGAATTTAAATGTCCAGAGGATTTTACTTTTTATGAAAACTCTTGATGGCCTTCTTGAAATGTTTAGTATGCTTTTTCTGTAAAATGCTCCAGATATGTATTATGTTCCATTTTTCCTTGCAAGTTTTTAAACAATCATTTTATGCCATAATTTAATTTTGAAACAGGATACAAAGCTTCTTCTCACTGGAGGGATGGAGAAAGTACTTCGTATTTTTGATTTGAATCACCCTGAGGCACCCCCAAGAGAAGTTGATAATTCACCTGGTTCGATTAGAACTGTGGCATGGCTTCATAGCGACCAGACAATATTAAGTTCTTGTACAGATATTGGTGGTGTGAGGTGCGTATTGTCCAAGGACCATGTTATGTGCTTCCTATTTGTAACTTACCATTCTATGATGCTTACTCTGGTTTACTATGAGCTTGATTTGTCCAAAATTTGCACAAGTGTTAGCTGGAAAATGAGTAATTTTGCATTAACCAATGAGCCTCAGTAGCACTCAGTGACTGGACAAATTCTGTGTATTTCATTCTTTAATCGGGAAATTGAGACTTGTTATCTTAGTTTCTCTGTTGGCACCGGGCATGCATACAAGAACACAATTTATTGTATTATGATGTTGTGCTAGAGAATTATCAAACATTTATTTTTAACTTTCTATGGAAAGGAACTTTCTGTCTACATATCTTTCTTGCTTTGTGGAGCAATCCCAACATTTCATATATCCATTGATTTCTAGGGACCAGCATGAAATATTTTTGAACTTAAATCTCATTCAACATTTGATAATTTACTTATTTATTTTCTTTTAACTGTTCTGTGCAAGTTTGTAATATTCTGTGGTTTTATGTATGGTGAATTTGCCCAGGTTATGGGACGTCAGAAGTGCGAAAATTGTGCGCACGCTTGACACAAAATCACCTGTCACAAGTGCAGAGGTAAGTCAAGATGGCCGTTATATTACAACTGCGGATGGATGCACTGTTAAATTCTGGGACGCAAACCAGTACGGCTCTCTCCTTTTCATGTCTTCCTTTCTTGCCCTTTCTCTCACTTTGAAAGACACTGGCCGATATTGCAGAAAATGTATTTAATCTCTCTCTCTCTCTCTCATACACACACACGCACACATACACAGACCCACGTGTGCTCACTCTCGCTCTCTTGTGTTATATTTTGTAGTTTTGGACTGGTGAAGAGCTATACAATGCCATGTACTGTGGAATCAGCCTCACTTGAGCCCAAACTTGGCAACAAGTTTGTTGCAGGGGGTGAAGACATGTGGGTTCGGCTTTTTGATTTCCATACTGGTGAAGAGATTGGTGAGTGACTTGCCCTTGATCAATCACTATTCTTGTTGTCATTTTTGGCATATGATAATTATGACAATTGCCATGGTGATGCATGATAGCATTGGGGGATTTTCTTTGTGGAGTTTGTTGCTGTTTCCTTGAATTGGTTTGGTCTCTTGGACATTATTAATGTCCAAGGCTCAAAGTACTGCTTATCCGCCCCCCAAAATAGAAAGCAGTAGTTTATTAGGAAAAATGACTTCCTTAGAATAAAGTAATTTACTGTGCTTTCAGATTTAATTTCATGTGCGTAATCTGTCCAGATTTAAATATTTGTTACTCATGCCTTCGGCATCAAAACCATGTGAGAAGTATGAATAGATTAGAGATGTTTATTTCTACTCATGGGATATCTATTTTGCATTTGCCATGAACAAGAACTTGGTATACCTTGTATTGTTTCTTTTTTTGTACATCCATCTTTATGGGCTTTTTGTGGGTGCAGCGTGTAACAAGGGTCACCATGGGCCTGTGCATTGTGTAAGGTTCTCTCCATTGGGTGACTCTTATGCATCAGGTTCAGAGGATGGAACCATTCGGATATGGCAAACTCAACCTACAACTGGTTCTGATGAAAGTGAAGCCCTCCCTGCAAACGGGCCAAGTGCCAAGATAAAGGTGGTAGCCGAAGATGTGGTGCACAAGATTGAGGGTTTCCACATTGCCTCGAATGTTGTTGATGAGGACAAAGGAGACAAACCCTCCATGTGATTTATTGTGGTTCTTGTTTCTTTGTTTGCTGTAAACTTATGCGGGTTTCTTTTCTTTTACCTTATTTTTCTTTGAACAAGCTTATAATTTTATTTTTGTAATTGGGTTTTGATTTGAGCATGGTGGTTATAGGATATGATTTTGTCTTATTTTATTGTTTTCTCTTTTCTTGACCAGGGTTGACTCTGGGTATGTTTCATGTAAAAACGTTGTTGAGACATTTTGGTTTATAACGTCTTGTGAATTATCCTTTCCCCTGGATTTCTCGGTCGTTTTATCAGATTACTTGTTTGATTTTGCTTCTACCAAAATCAATTCACTGTTTACGGAATGTGCTAGGGTTCCTTACTGTCCCTTCTTTGTGACCGTCTTTTGAGTTCAAAATTTCAATTATTTTGACCGGAATTTACTAAAGACCGTAGTTAGAGAACAAGGGAATAATAATATGCCAGCAAAAATAAATATTGGTATTAAATCTGTTTCAAGGGGAAAATAGGGGCAAAACTACCTGGCCGACGAAAATTAGGACAGTATTGTGTTTAATTAGGATATGCATCGAAAATTTGGAGAAAGAAATCGGATATCTTTAGATGACAAAAAACACGCAAGAGGGAGCGCACAATGATACTGTAAATGTACCAAATTGAACTTACGGGCTCTGATGTCCTTTTTTATTTGTTTTTTATTTTTTACACCAGTGGCGTACAAATGGGAGGTAGAAACAAGTTAGATGGGAAGATAGACGAAAGGGGATGAGTATTGTACTCAATTATTAATAGTCAGTGGAGATATTTGATTAAAAATTATGACTTGTTTGCTCTCTCGGTCAGATCAGCCACTAGAACAGACAATAACACTTGACAATGTCTTTAATTGATATTACGTTTTAAGTAAAAAAAGAACTTAAATATCTCGAGTTATGTTTGGGATCGGGGTTAGACGATTTCACTAAAGAACTATTAGAGTACGACGACTCTACTGGGTTTGGTTATCCAATTTGGTTGGTATAAACAAACACAACTTCATAAGCAAAAAGCAGCGTAGAATATTACATAGTGGTTTACAAATGGGAAGAAAGTAATACCACCTTAGAAAAGATAAATCACACTATAATACATCCACTCGCACCCATCTTGCATCCACTAAAAAAGTATAATAATACATTGAAAAAAAAACATTATTTGTAAAAAGTAAAACCATTTTTTTAAAATAATACTACTAAAAAAATCATGTGCTATTTTTAATTAGGATATTTTGAGATGACTTTGGCGTTTCATCTTCAAAACTCATGATGCTACAATATTCTCCATAATGTAACATGCAGAAATATTCTCTGATTTAGCAACTATAACATTTTTTTAACATTTTGATACAAGCGGTCTAATAGTTGTATTGATGTAGGTGGCCTTATGCTAGATGCCACATAGTTGTAAAACAGTTAATCTTTATAACTTAAATAAATCCTTGCTCTGAGAAATTGATTATTTGGAAATATTTGAATAAATTCTTTTCCCAATTTGAATATCCTAATAATTTTGTAATGAAATCTCTAGCAGTGTTATGAGGATATAATGTTCTTCTAAAAATTGTCAAATCATCCCAGACTTCTTTTTTAATGATTCAGTCAATAACTTCAGGATCTGAAGATGTGCATTTGAAATTGTTTATGATTATACTGATTCTTTCGGTAGAAGTGGGAAAACAATCTATATTAGGGTAAAATCCTGCTATTGAATCAATATTATCAGGTTCATGAGAGAAATAACTCCTTATTTTTTGACAGAATTGTTGTCTTTCTTCTGGAAGTTTTAGAGGTCATGTTAGCCACTCATCTTTTTGAATTGTTCTTATCATCTTTGTTTCTCTTGTTAGTGCATGTGTAAAATGTTATGTTCCTGGGACATTTTCAATTGAAAAATTATATAGGGAAATGATGAATTGCCACCATGCATACTTATGTAATTTTGGACTGTTGGGAATTTTCTTTTTCATCACACTAACCAAATTTGAAGAGTCTGCTCTAAGGATAAATTTTTCTCCTATTAAACTGGTGTGAAAATTTTAGCTTCCTCTTATTGCAGCCAAATTTTTCTTTTTTGCAAGGTAATAATTTAGGTCATGCTTGTTGAATTGACTGCTAGTTTAGGCACATATTTTCTCTTCCTTGTTTTCCCTTTTAAGTAGGATAGCCATCCAAGTATCAAATGAGATGTCAGTAGAAAGAACAAACAAACCGCCATATACAAGTGCTCAAAGGGGGCAGAGTTTGTGCTTCAGCTTTGAGCTATCTTACCTCTTGAACAACTTCTTCGGTCCATTGGAATGGTTCTTCTTTCATAGTTTTTTTAACTTTTTTTGGTTTACTCAAAAAGCTTGGGAATAAATTCTCAAACACAGTTGCGACAACCAATAAACTTTTGGTATTGTAATTTATCTTGCAGCTTGTTTAAAAATTTTCAATCTTTTGAATAACATGGGGCTGCATCTGTATTTGTCCTTTCGGGATATGTGCATCAAGAACATGAATTGATTCTTTAGCAATTTGAATCTTGTCTTTTGAAAAAAAGAGTCATATTCCATGTTTTTGCGTAGTTTCCACAAATATCATGATATGCTTCAAATGTTGCTGCATGCTATCATAAAAGACAACAAATTCATCTATATAATTAGCAACAAAATTAGAGAATAGGTTAACCTCCTTATGAAACTACCAAGGAGCATTTTATAGTCCAAAGAGCATTACTAGCCAATCATATGATCCTTTGGGGGTGGAAAAAACTCTTTTATGAAAGACCTTTTCAATTTTCACTTGGTGGTATCCTGATTTATAGTCAAATTTTTAAAAAATCCCTTTCACAGTGACTCTTTGCATCAACTCTGCATTGTTGAGTAATGGCCATTTATTATCTATTATTATGTTGATCAGAAGAATATAATTAATTATCATTCTAGCCTTTCCTCTATTTTCTTTCAAATGATTTCTCACAATAAAGGCTGTACAAGAATAATTTGATCGAGATGACCTAATTAATCACTTTTCTTGTAATTCTTTTATTTGAATTTTCTGCTTTTCTTCATCTTCTTTGTTGCACTTTATAGGTTTACTTTGAATTGGAAAGTTACGGAGAGTTGGTATATGGGCTTTGGGTGAATCTTTATCACAATTCTCCTATGGATGCTTAACACAATATTTTTTTAGGATTTCTGTAATTTCTTTCATATCAAGTAATTTTGAACTAGTTTCTAGACTCATGCCCTTTATTTGCCTGATAATTTCATATTTTTCATTGTCTTTTTCCAACTTTTGTACATCATTTATAATTTTAATTATAAAAGGATTGCCTTGAATTTTGTTTGCCCTGGTTTTGAAAGTTGGTGGAATTCGAGGTACAATTTCCTTTTCTCCTTGTATAGTAAAAATTATCAACTCTCTTGATTCTGCTCAAGAGCTTATTTTGTCTAGAGTCACAGAGTCTATTCCCGCTTGATATCCCCTATTTTCAATATTAACAAAATTTATTAAAATCACTTTGTCTCCAATTTTAACTGAATCATTGATGACAAATTCTTTTGATTTTCTTCTATTGATGTCAAATTCCATCAATCTTCCTGTTAATAAGAAAATTATCAAACTTTTTTATGTTTGAAAGTATTTTGTGAGAACTTTCCCTCTATAGAAAGAGGCAACTTTAGCACTTCATTTCTCACAATACTTGTGCATTTAAATAGGCAAGATAATTGTTTACAACTAAATCCGGCAAGATATCTGATGAAACCTCATTGAATTTATGCTTTCAATGAGTTAAAAATAAATATAGTAGAAATGAGTGGGATACGTCAAATTACGATTAAAACAAAAACTAGATCTGGGAAAATCAGGGTTCTTTAAGAACCACCAGAAGATCTGGCTCAAGATCGCGAAAATCCTGTGAGAAATTAAATAAATTAAATTGAATTGATATGAAAAATAAATTAACTGAATATGAAAATAAAGATAAATAAAAGGACTTACCTAGCCAGGCCGACCAACCCAGCACACCCGAAGACCCGGAGTTGGTGTCCATATCAGAACCGCATGTTTTTTACACCATGCTCCTTCACTTTTCTTCTTAAAAATGCCTAGGTCTAGCACCCTAGTGCTAGATTTTATCAATGAGAATTAGGGATTTGACTTTGAAGAGAATTTGGCTAGGGTTTCCTAGATCTAAAAGTTACGGTTTGAGAGGGTTTTTGTTAATCTAAGGAATTTTTGGGTATTTTCGTAAGATTTTAGGATCTTTTTTTTTTTATTTTTTTTTATTTTTGAGGAATTTTCGGAATAATTTTTAGGTATTTTTCTCTCTTTATCTGGAATTTTTTGAAGGAGTTTAAATAGAAGGGAGGCCAAGGGTAATTCCAAAGAAAACAGTTTCAGTTATCTTTAAAATATTTCTAATTATCCTAGGGAAAGTAAGGGCCAAAATTATGCTTATCAGAAAGCCAAAATCTGCCACAACAGCTTACAGAAGCTTCCAAATAATTCTGGAGTAGGGATCATTTTAGAATTACTGGTAAACGATTGTCCGGACCATAACTCTCAAACGATGAATCATATTCAAGCGATTCTTGGATCCTTGGAAAGCTTATAAAATATTCTTCAATTTAGAATCATATTTAACCCAGTTTGGTTGATTTTAGAGGGGTCAAAAGGGACTGGACTTTTGGATGTCGATTTTAAGTCTTAGGGTGTTAGATCGATGTCCATGTTTGTTTCCCATGTTTAATGGGCTCAAGACTATTTAGGATGATTATTTTATGGCTTGAATAGGTCTGAAGTTTGGTTTTTATTTCTAAAAAAGTGACTAGGGTCTACTAGGATGTTGTGGTCCCCTAGGGTTAAAGAATTCAAGAAAGATTAACTAATTCCAAAAATGGGGTGTCTACAATTGCCCTTCTTTGGTACACCTTGTTCTTCAAGGAACAGGTGAACAGAAAATAAGTAGACACATGCATACAATTTCTCATTGTCTACTAATATCAAATGGTCAAAGGGCATACTATCTCTTTTTCTGGAGCTATAGCACGAGACATCGTGTTCATCCCACTCATCCATTTAGTGCAAGTTCATGCCTAAGCTTTTCGGTCTGAGATTCTTTCGAGATGTTTTTTTCACGCTAGTATGGACTTCGAACTAAGGTTTCTAGCCATGCCACTTTATCTTGGTTGTCAATTATGAAAAATTTTGAGTTATGAACTTGGCCATCTTTCCATAGTTTCATGT